GGGACACAATCAAAACATGATCGGGACACCATCACAACATGACCGCGCCACCATCACATGATCGGGACACCATCAAAACATGCCCGGGACACCATCACAACATGACCGGGACACCATCCGCCCACCAGCTCTGACGGTGACCCGACGGCGCCCGTCCGCCTATTAGTTTTGCAAGACCCCATAGCATGGCTATTGGGGAAAAATAACAGGCGGGTATGGCTGGTCGATGTCTCCGCTACCTAAACCCCGTTGATCGATCCACGGGGCCGTCACCCACGTGATGGGTGCGCCATGTGCTCCGCAGGTGAAGAAGCCGATGGGCGAGGCTGCGTCTTCACCGCAACCTGGCGAAAAGAGAACAGTTGGGTGACGGGTTGACGCGGCGGTGAAGGGAGTTTGAGATGTGAGGTATGAATGCTTTCCTGTCAACCCCCCGGTATAGCGCAGCTTGAGGAAAGATCCAAGCCTGTATTGACATACCATGCAAAAGCCTTTTGGTGCAAGATCGACCAAAAGAGGGCACATTGGATTATGGGTCAATCATATATTGCGTTCTTGTGTTGATGATAATTAGCTTCAGCAATTACTGTAGATCCAATTAGTTTGCTAGCTGCTTGTCGCTCTTAGTTTGATAACACTATTAGGAAATTATGGTGGGAGGCCTTGGTGGGACAGCCAGCAGTAGAACTTGGTCGTGCAACGGTCTTGAGATATTGGTTGAGACCAGTCAAGCAAAACAGGGTTTTCTCTCTAAACCGAGGGAGACAAGAAAGATGTTGGCAAAGCCTTAACTTGGTATCCAATAGAAGCCCGGCATCTCCACAAATCGCTGGTGATTAGACATAAAACAACATAAAACAAACACAGATCCTCAAACGGTTGATTGCCGTTTGAGAGGTGCAAGACCACTGAGAGTCTTGGTCTAGTGCAGGCTGTGGAATGCAAACCCCTCCAAGGAAAGAAAACTCTCCAAACATGACTTGACCCAACTCTGCATCAGGGTCCACATGGAACAAGCCTTTGTTGGATCAGGCAGGTAGGCCAGTTAAGGCCGACTGGTCTAAATCATTCTCAACCTATCTCGCTGAGCCACCACCAATCCTCCCTTCGAGAAGGAGCTCCTCGAGCTCCGCTCCGAGCTCCGCGGATCTGAACTCGGGCTACAGCTGTGCATCCTGGCAGAGCCGAAGCAGTTCCGGCGAGTGACGGTGTGGAGGGATCGGACATGGACTTGCCCAGACGGTCATGGACCCAGATCTGAAGACATGCGGACCCCTGGTCCATCCTCACATACCAGGGGGTCACAAGACGGGGTGGTGTTTTGTCCCATCCAGTGAGTGGATAGTGGACACCCCTATCCTCCAATAGGCAGCCCTTTGTCACTGCTGGGTATGGAGGGGGTCTAGGGTCTCAAATTCCGTTTTGAGGGACGGGTGCTTCACATCGGAGGTCTCCGGGGTGGGTCAGGTGGTTGGAAACCAAGCGGAGGGCGGAGGCATCCTGTCTTTTAGCGCTCCAAAGATACCTGAGACCATTTGCTCTGGGCTCTGGGGTTGATTTCAAGGTCATAATAAGGATCGATCCATTCCAAAAACAGCTGCTGAATTGTCTGGCTACACGTGGTTTGCTCGGAGAGACTCAGGTGACGCCCCAACTCGACAGATCCGAGTTTGTCAGGTCACGACTTGGATAAATCTCATTGCTCTTGATCTGGCCACAGATCACCCTAAGTCCTTTTATTGTCTATATGTATCCGGTGTAGTGTCTATACTTTATAATACTATATATATATACATTATATAATATATATATATATATATCAAGAATGTAGTTGGAGATCATAGGGTGTCATTGACCTTGCAAGATCAAGTGAACCATTTCAGATGACGTCCCCACACCAGACCGGTCACCGGTCACCGGTCCGTTCCCACGCGAGTCGGCGAGGACTCGAGTCGGACTCCGAGTCGGACTCCTGACGTTTGCCGGCGAGGTGAACTGCAGCGCTTGAAGACTTGAAGAATGGATCGCTTGAAGAATGGGCTAATGAACCTTTGAGTCCGTTTGAGCACGTCTGAGTGCGATGCTCTGACTCGGATGTTTTTTGAGACATGTCGTTCTGTTGCTACGACTGAGTCGAACGCCACGTAGAGTCAGAAAAAACAGAGAACCATGAGATGTACAGTTGGTCACGGAGTTCTGTAAGGGGCACTCGATTCAGCCAGAAATTGATGTGCAAACATGTGGGTGAATCAATCCATTTGCATAAATACCTCAGTTTCAATGGCTCAGAAGCCTTTAACAGAAAGGTGAAAGGTGGCGATACGGAGGACCCAGTGGAGGACCCATACCATCCCGAGCTCAATGAAAAACAACATGGATTCGTGCAATGTGTTAATTGAACGAAGAACCACTGGATTTGGTTTGGCCAAGGAACGTGGACCCTCTATCACCCGGGGTCACTCTTGGGCTAGAAAGGGAGTTTTTTCCTCCAGTCACTACACAAAGGGAAGCAACATGAAGCAAAATTTACAGCGCAACAAATGCAAGCATAAGAGAACACCAGGAAGAAAAGGACACCATAATTAGCAGATCAGACATCCCGCAAGAGAACAAACATGCAGATTCAAAAGCTGCTGGGTAGCGCTGATGTGTGCTTATATTTGGCATAGTTTACATTGATCAAAAGTGCAATACTTATCATTACACCAGAGATTCTCCAAAAATGAAGAGGTATGAAGAGGTCAATTTCTCATTCTGTCCAAGAGAGGGGTCCAAGAAGAACTCCATGACATTGACTTGGTGCGACTTGGGCCACGCGACCACGCGACGGATAGGTGTGCAACACATCTCCGTTCGTTCTTGTGCCGCTGCCGTGGCGCGACTGCATGAGGCAGTCGCGCCGGGAACCGTGCCGGTGTTTCCGTGGTCCGCGCGGTGGAACACCGGGGGCTTGGTCAGCACTGCAGTGCTGCGACCAGTAGTCACTTTTCCAGCAGATGGGCAGAAATGAGGCTCAAAGATCGCCGAAGACATGTCTTCACACTATCCTTGGTGCCATGGGTCTCACCGCGGATCATGCACACATTGGGCAGTGGTGTCCCAAACCGCCCCTCATCTGCTGGGAAGGAGGACCTGACCTTCGCAACTTTTCTGCCAGGGGAAGGCAAAAATCTGAGACATGTGGATGGCGGCGGTGTCGGTGTTGTTTTCAACCAATGAACCAGTCGGCGGTGGACGGATTTGAAGCCACCCTGCTTCTTACGTTGGAGTCAACGAAATGACCTCCGTTCTTCCAACCTCGTACTTGAGGAGAACCTCACTCAAACATCAGTTAGGCGTAATCTTCATGGTCGGCTGGGAGGACATGTGATTCGGCCCCCGAGCCATTCCACCCGTTGGGAGCAGCGACGTAGCTCGTCTCCCAGACTCCCGTTGGGGTTCCGGGTGACTTGGTTTCACACGAAGGAGTTCCGAACGGTGACTCAAGTCGCGGGAGCTTGGTCAACCAGCGCTGGAAGGATAGTAGCGTTCGAACGCTTAAGAAAACGAGCAAAACAGGTGGGACAATTCCAACAGGACATAGGACCTAGGACCCACCGGAGTTGGGTGGTTCATGGACACCCCCCCAAATAACCCGAAAACTCTAATAAGGGGCTTATCAAGTTTTTCACACCTCTGGTCCGGGTGTCCTGGTTTTTGATTGAATTCGAACCCTCCATGGGACTGCCACATATACCTACTCGTACATTGGGGTGGTTGACTGGGGGTGAATGGGGCGCCATATGGCAGTCCCATGGAGTGTCTGGGTATGGAGGACTTCATGGAGTCCCATCAAGATTCCTCAACTGCTCGTGCGTAGCTTCGTTAAGGAAACGGGAGCTGGGGGAGCTGGGAACTGGGAGGTGAAAAAGGATGGGTGTAATTCCAGTTCTGGATTGTTTGGGAACCCCATGGATGAATAGAACTGTGGTTGGAATTCCATGTAGTTACCACCCTAATGTAGTTTGAACCCCGTGTATGGTTCAAACTATGTCTGTGATTCCAAGTAGTTCTCCCTGGGTTTGGAGATTGTTGCCCTGGGTCCGACCTGAGCTGTTCAAGTGACACCGCCGAGCGAAGAGCCAAGCCAGCCAAAAGCGAAGAGGCTGGGGATCGGGTGTGGAGGTGCCAGGGGAATCAGCTTGAGGCTGCGAAATACCAACTTGGAGCGTTTTCGGGGTCTAGGCCCTCATCTCAGAGGTCTAGACCAACTTCTTAAGCTGGCAGTGCCCAAAGCCTCTGCCTGAGAGGAGCATGGTGAGTTCGCAAGGGGTTTTTCTTTGTCTTCCGTAGGATCGCCTCACTCTGGTCATCCAGACCCTCTGCCGCCGCGGCCGCGTCGCTCTGCCGCGCGAGGCCGCGTCGATCGGCGAAGAGCAAAGGCAAGATGGTGGACTTGCTGCCCGCCGGCGTGATCAGCCACGGCTTGTATGGTGGGTCCAAGTGGGTGCAGAACCAGCCCACAGGCGTCGCGGGAAGAGCAAACGCGCGCGGGGGAGAGAGTGAGAGAGATGTTGTTTCAGGTTCCGAATCTTGCGAGAAAAACATTGATGATGGTCGATATTGAACTAAGCCATGTAGAACTCCGGACATGTAATTTTCTTGGCATGAAGGACATGTCCAGAACTTTGTTACAAACTGATTGACTATAATGTATATATAGCTATTCTTCTGGAAGTCATTGTGATGTTCTTTCTTAAGACGTGAGGGTTGTAACACCACCCATCCAACCCATCAAACCCATCGCCCTAGACGACGCACCGTAAGCCTGGCCGCCTGGCCCTTGTGACCAGGCCATGCCAACTGCTGGGGTGTCCTTCGCCCTGGCGCGCCCTTAAACTTCAGCTACGTGTGACTGGGATGGTGAAATCCCTCCCAGACACGACAGACACTCCATGGGAGTGTTGGTGGCTACAAGAGAACACCTGGCTGTGTCCCCTGAACAAAAACTGTGCTTAATTCAACTAGAGGAACATGGCAGATTCCTGGCTCCCTTGACTTCTGCAAGTCGAACTTTTTCTTTTTTAAAGTTAATTCAGCCCATATCGCTCCAAATGCCAACACTTGCTGGGCTACCTAGACGTTTCGTCATGAATGCACGGAGGGTCCTTATCTAATAAGGGTTTGGTGATGTGTTTATCCAGTTTCGCGCAATACCCTATATATACTGTATATGCCTTCACCAAGAGCCAAGAGTAGCTGTTCATCCTCATCCACTAACTGCGATGGGATGAAGATAGCCAACCGCCATCCTTTGTGTGTTGCTCGACGGGACGTGCTGGACCCGAGGTCAGCGATGGTGGGTGCCGGCTACATTGCCTGTGAAGGCTGGGGGGTACTGGAAGGAGGTGGTCGGAGGTGGTGATCATGAAGTGGCATGGATGGATACATGAAACAACCATAATCATCATGGGGTGCTTACGTTCTACGGACAATTATTGTTGAAACGGCCATGAATCATGCAATGCAAATTGCAAATAAGCCCGAGGCTACGAGACTGAAAGGGGCCTGCAACTGTTCTGTGTGTTGCCGAGCATTGCTTTACATGAATATTATGTTTTGTGCCCAGGCGCAACGGCAAGCTTGTGAAAAGTACACACATGTCACATGCTCTATAGCCATTAACGCATTAAGCACGGTTTGCTGCTTCGCGGGTTACTGGCAGATTTTTAGATGTTGCATGAGGGGTACGCCAAAGTTTCCCTTTCCCAGTCGGTTCTCCATCATTTGTTCCTGTTTCCCTCGACGGAAGGAACATCTCCATCACCACCTGAAAAAAGAAAACAACAAACTTCCCCAAACCAGTTGAACATCTACACTCCCCTGACAGAATCATGGGTTTTCCCTGGACAACCGGACTGGCGCCTCGGTCGACGAGCTGCACCGGCCAGGGCATCGAGTGTGTGGAGCCACCATGACCAACGACGGCTTCGGGCGCTGGTCGGTGCCCTCGGCCAGGGATTTGGCCGATGTCTTCAACATGATCATGGCCAGCTCCCAGAGTGACCAGCCAGCAAGAAAACAGCTGGAGCGACCGTGGTTTGGGCAGAAATCTCCACGTGGCAGTGAAAGGGAACCTGAAATGAAAGCGATCCAGTCCCAACGGTTACGAGTTGAACTCTAGCACCACAGTCGACTTCCAACCAGCCGGAGCTCCAACGTCCAACCGCGGTGGTCTGCGTGTCTGAGAGGTGCACCATCGAACTGCATGGAGTGGACGGTCCCATTGAGCTTGGACTGACGTCGTCTTCACTGGTTCACATCGATCACTTCTTTGGAACTTCAGAGTGGTCCTTTTGCGAAGTGTCACAGAGCTACAGAGCGATTTCGCCTCTGTGTGTCAGTTCCCTCAATGTGTACTGATTTGCTTTGTCCATTCGCAGTGTCGCTTGTCCACAGATCGGTTGCGGGCCTAAACAGCTCCCAGAATGCCACCTGTTTGGTCAGGTGGTCGGCCAGAGAGATCCAGAGAGTTGGCTTTTCCATGCTCCCAAGAACGGTGGTGCCAGATTTATGGAACGTGTTAGAAAGTACCAGGACTTGTGCCTGTCTAGGACCTAATCAGAAGCACAAAAGATCAGGGACATCCGAATCACGGTCACCATCTATCCCCAAGGCCAGCTGCATCTATCCAAGGCCAGCTGCAGTACTTCGACATGACCGTGGAGCGGATCTTCGAACGCATGAACCTCCTCCAGTCCGAGCTTCGTCGCTCCGGCGCGCCGTGCACCGCAGCCGCGCAGGCTGCGACGCCTGCGGCGTGTGCCGTTTCGGGCGCGGGGGCACAGCAACTGCCGGTAGTGCCGGGTGCAGTGGTGCAGGGGCAGGTCATTGAGGAAGGACAGAGTCTTGGATGCACTTGATTTTTCTTGGATGCACATGATTTTTTCAGATCCAGAAGCATTTGATCTGAGCATGAACACTCAAGACTGCGACACAACCTTTTATCAATGGGCTTCTATCTATCTGCGCAACAACTCAGATCCGGAGTTTCAACGTACTTTTACCCAACGGTCGCACTGGAGCTAGTGCAGCTAGTGAGTTCATCTTCAAGATCCTCTGGTCCTGTTCCTCCGATTGCTCAAGGTGGCAGCCAGTCTCCGCGACCGCGCCGCTCCGCCCCAGCAGCGCGCGGCCGGGGATGGCCGGGGCTGGGATGGGCCACTCGGCGCTGTGCGTGGTGGAGTGGTGTGTTCACTTGTTTGGTTTTTGCGGTTGGAGGTGGAAACACTCAACAGAAAGGAGAAACCATACAGTAGTGTTTGGAAAGCCCACCAGGATGAATTGATGTTTGAAGTGGAAGGCAGTCCTATGGGCTCTTTTCTATAAGTCTTAGTCTTGGCCAATTTGAGGACTTCCAGCGACCCCACACAAGCCATACGGATTTGAAGTTAGACCTCCGGGGTGCAGAGCAGGACTTCTGATCTATTCATTTTTGGACACCAAAGACAAGCTGCTTAGGTTTGTTGTGCTGACAGATCCAGTACTTTGCACTTGAGGATTAGATTAAAGTAGGCAGCACACCGCCTTAGCCACCAGCTCATCATGACCGCCAACAATGCTTCATCCGTTTTGTCTACAGAATAAATCAGAATGAACGTTGTAGCCGGAAAGGAAAGGGAACATGTTCGGATTGGTTTGTGAATTCTGTTGCTTTCATTGTTGTATATTTACGTATAATTTATGGTTTATAAATCACAAATCCAGATCAAATCCAGATATGATGAAATGACTCGGTCATTTGCCACACCCCAGGTTCCTGGGAGCCTTTGAACGTCATGCCTCACGCAGCAGCTCCCGCCCCTCACGCAGCGCACGTCCCCACACCGCCACAAACTGCGCGCGTGGGTGCACCACGTCCAGGTTCAAGAGCCTTGGAAGCAGAGAAAATCATAGACATGTGTCGTTTAATCCGACATATGCTAATGCTGGTCGATGTAGATCATTTCTGTCCCCGGATTAATAAACCCCCCCCCCCCCCCGCCTGGAAGGTCAACAAGGTCAAGAAGGTATGAGAAGACACTCATTTCTGTCAAAAGCTGCTGGGTGTTGAACTCCACCAAGGTCCTAGGTCCAATTTGTTCTTGCCCTGAGGACCTCCCGACGCCCGCATGGCATCAGCAATGCCCGCGCGGCCAGCGGGTGGAGGTTCGTTGCACCAGTACGGGGATGGTGCACAATGAAAATATGGACATGGCCCGGAGGGAAATTTGACGTTTAACGTGTTTTACTTACTTTACTTACTTTTGTGATTGTGGAAGATGTTTAGATACACCGGAAAAGACGGGGCGTCTTTGCCAGAAAGTAGCATACTAGATCATCCCCTGAGTGGTCAAAGAAAAAGATCATGGCAGAGCTGCAGTTTGATAGGTCTACTGCCAGGTCGGTGGAAGCGTTCTTCAACACTTCACATACCCCCCAAACCATCCAGATGTGGGGTTGCTATAGACAGCTTATACGACTTTTGTACAACGCTGCACAAGCCTCGGGCAGTGGCCAAGTCATGGTGTAGTCATTTGGTACATAGCTATAGAACCAGGCTTCCATGCCATTTAAAGTGGTTCGTTAAAATTGCTGTAGTCGACATGGGTTGACTGGTAGGCACAGGGTGATTCCAGCCAATGTCCTTTGGACTTTGACGGCCCTTCATTCTTATGATGCGTCTTAGGCTGTCTAAAGAGTATTTGGACACCTGGTCTCGCTCATGATTGACCATGGCATAGGTACTTGTTTTGCCAAACAAGACTCTTAGGAATGTACTTCATCAGCCCATCCTCCCCAATAGTTGAGATTTGACCCGCAATTCCAAACAATCCCTTTTGCATCCAAGCTGAACTACAAGCCTGCAGTGTCGACTTGACTGAAGCATGATCTTTGCTTAGTTACCCTACAACCAGAAAAAACAGCTTTCAAGTACTTCCAGGCAGCATCAATCTACAACCCAGCGGATTTCAAGATGAACTTCCATCTTCAGGGCAGCCACTCACTCACCAACTCGTTCCAGCCTGGGCGATCAGGTACCCCAGGTGCCCGGGATGTGGCCGACCTGGCAGCGGAGCTCGAGCGTTGCGCGCAGCGGAGCTCGTGGGCTCAGCCCAGCGCGGTGCCCGCGGGGCGCGTGCCGCGGAGATGAGGCGAGTTGAGAGCGACGGGCATCGAACTTACTAGGAATGGGCCTCCAACTTAGAAGCGATGGGCCTGCAACCTATATAATATGAATGGGCCTCCAACCTACTAGCGATGGCGTGGCGGTCTTTGTCGTGGACCCTATGATTGTCCTAAGGGAGGATGGATGAAATCAAGGATGGAGCGGTTTTGGGCGGCTTGGGTTTTTGAGTCGTTTCAGGATGTTGTTCATAAGGATGTTTTATGATTACTGCATCACTTGGTTCAGTTCCCAGTCGTCCCAGTGGCTTCGAACTCATCAATGATATGTATGGATTCTGGACGGCCTTTGCCTCTGAATACAACATAACATAGAGGCTCAGACAACTGACTACAAATGGTGGGAGCATAGTGCTAGGGCTGCCCGGGTCGAAGAAGTTAGTTTAAGCTCCGGCGTCCGGATTGCTTTCCACAGCGATGCTTAGCTTTCCCAGCTGATGCATTCACCCAAGAGCTGCCTGAGAAGTTGGCCATTTGTTTGAGAAGAATCTTCCATGTTTTTGGCAAAGCTTCCTCCACAGCTCGTTTTTTGGGCAATGCCCAGTTGTTCCCCCGCGTGCTAGAAAGGAGTTCATGAAACATTACATTTTAGCTCCGCCCGGCTTGCCTGACCGTTCGCAGGCAGCTCACTCCAGCAATGGTTTTTTTCAGCCGTTGAAGAACGACGGTTGACGAGCGTTGTTCGGCGGGGAAAGGCACCGCCGCAGGGCCAATGTCGGTAAAAAGTGGAACCGCAACGCTTGGATGATTTTGGATGGATCACCAAAGGCGCTCTGCCTGCAGACCCCAGTCACGTTCAAAGGCCCGGCTCCAGCAAGTTGGAATTCTCGATGACCGCTGACCTTAAGACGATGAAGTAGGATGAAGTTTTGGATGCAGGATGAGGAGTTCCACCTACTTGTTGAGTTACTTGCTTGTTCTTTGATGACCCTCTGAGCAGTGGATCTTCTGCATACTTTGGAGGCCCAAGAACCCCCTACGAGGCCCCCCATGGGCCTGGTCAGCATTCCAAGTCGCACCCCAGGCACCCGCGTTCTCCCCGCGTTCTCCCAGCGTGGCTTGGTTTCACCTGGTGAGCTCCGGAACTCGGCCCATCAGGTCCTTCTAGTACACTCCCAGACCATCCATGGGACTGGCAGGTCCAACCGATCGGGTCTCGGGGTGGTTGAGAAATGGCCAGGGGCTCTGGCCTTGTCTTGGTGAACGACCTGCCAGTCCCGATGGATATGGCCTGGGAGATGGTCGGTCAGTACAGACAGCACGCACATAGAGGGCACCAGTCACTCCGCCGCCGCGATGACCCGGATGACCCGGGGAACTCCGAAGAACCAGTCCCAGGTGGTGGGAGAACCACGTGAGTTCCATGAGTGGAGGTCAGGGAGTGCAAATTGTTCAACTGGTTTGGGGAAGGTTCGAGGGTTCCCTGGTGGTAGAGAGCTTCCTTCAACCATAAGACACTGATCAGTGTGTTTGTATTTTCAGTTCTTCAGGTTCCAGGAAATTTTTGATTTTTGGGGGGTGCCGATATGTGGCGAGGTGGTCCAGCTTACTCATTCAAGAGGTGTTGGATACAAGGGTGTTTGGACCCTGCGTACTCCCTCTGTTTGTTGTTTGCTAAAAGCGTTTTTTCAGGACAGTTTAATGAGAAGCTTGTTATTGGGAGCTGAAGCATGTAGTAAATGTCGTGCCGCACCTGTTTGGAGGTTATTTATCCAAGTTGATCTGGGGAGTTTGCCAGCACTTCAGGGTGGTCACCAGGTATAGTCGTGTTTGTTGCAATAAAACAATAAAGCATAATTGTTTTGCTTTGTACGAGACTTGGATATGTTACACGGACATTTCTTCAGGCTAGCTTGCAATTCCGTCCCTTCTTGCCTCTAGAGGCCAGAGGATGTTTGCACACGAATGCCCATGTCACAAGTTCCAGCTGTCCTTTGCAGTCGTTTGGGGGGTCGCTCAAGTGGCAAAGGGATTGCAACCTTCGGACGTCGGTGGATTTTTCGAGATGAGAGATCCTCCCAGAGTCGTCACGAGTAGTCAAAAGCTGCGGATTTGAGGAAGCCACGTGGCGTACTTGTGGAGAACGCTGCAGCTGTGACTCTCATGTAGGGCGAGCAACGAACCGACTCTTCGCGCGCGTGAGTGCCGCTGGGAAAGTGCCAGAGACCCAGCTGACTGTCTTGTGATGCCAGGGTTTTTTGTGTGTTTTTCTGCGACTTGTGTGTCGAGGGGGGGCGAAGTCAAAGTTGTCCCTATCTTTGAAGAATGGGGCAAAAGTATTTCAACGTGCTGTGGCCGCCATTTGACAGGTAGGTGGATGGGATTTGCTTTCTGTGTACCTGCAACTCATGGTTGTTTGGCTACAAGAAACATCGGCGATGTGACCATGAAACATGGATGTTTCACTTTTGTTGGAGAGCCTGTCGTATTCTGTTGTATTCTGTTGTATCTATTAGTGAAAGAGATCAAAATTGGACACCCAACAGCCTTTACTTGATCAGACACTCAGTCCAGGATGCTTTTGATGGGAGAGATGCGGGGCTTTGGAGCACTCAGGGGAGTTGGTCCTTTAGTTCAAGACGATGCTCAGAACGATCCGCAAGCTCCGAACGATGCTCAGCTTGGGCCGAACGGCCTGCGCCCCGCCGAACCGCCCATCTGCAGGTGATGTCGAGCCGTTGTCGCTGCGGGAGCGCCCAGCCCGCCGTTAACATGCGCGAGCCGAGGTCGTGGCGATGTCGGCCATGGATGACTCTGCAAAGGGTCTGAGTCCTCGAAAGGAACCCTGTTCGGATGTTTGTTTGTTTAATTGTTCCCAGAAGAAAAGCAAAACAAGACACGATTCATCCTTCGAAAGATCATGGACAATGGTTCAGATCTTTTTTTGGTTGCCCTTCCGTGGTTACAGTAAATCTATTTTTGTAAATATGGAGGCTGCCAAAAAATCATGGGAAGATATGTATGTTACTTTGTCAGAGTGTTCTGGACCAGCTGCTGTGTGTGTTTGTTTGTTCGTTTGTTTGTTTGTTAGGAAGGGCATCCAAACGAAGCATAACATATTGTTTGCTTCTAGAAGTGGTTCACTGTTCCAGTTGTTAGTGGATGTCATCCTCTATGGTCCTCTCCAAGTCCAAGCAAACCAAGATGCTTCCATTTTCCCAAGGGATGAAAAACTCAAATGGCTCGGTAGCTTGAACTTGGAGGATCATGTCATAGGGGTCAAGAAGGCCAGATTGATGTCAAAACCTCCAAAAGGACAACACTTGGTTCAAAACGCTCAGACAGCGGCTTTGGACGAGCCAGTAGCCTACTTGCAATGATTCACTGGGTGCTAATCAGGTTTATAAAAGGACCAACAAACAAAAATCAATCAGAAACCACATTCCCTGAAACTACGTATATAACTATGACTATGATCGATTCCGACTCCGATGCCTCAACTCCATGGAAGAACGTTTAACACTCCACTCGTTTCCGGCCCACACACAGCCCGGAACAGCGGACCAGTGGCCGATCGCCTCCAAGGCATTGAGCGGTGTATTTCACCCTGTCTCTTGGATGAAGAATCGAATTCCGCATTTCGGAAGGATGACACAAACACGTCCAGTCCAACCCAGGGTCAAAGCCGGTCCTGAAAAGCTTATTGAGTAGTGCTTTTATATGACCAACTTCAGTGATTTCGATGCGACACCACATGTGTTTGTTTGGCACAAAGTACTTGATGGTACTTGTTGGTTTTCACTGTATTTTGTGTCATTTTTTGTGGATTCTTGGAGTGTCCAGAGAAAGCATTTGCCACTTTCATTTGTGTGTTTGAGTGGACTGATGGGCGAGGAGCTGGAGCTTGAGCTGGCGATGGCCGTGGTTTCATAACGCATTGTTTAAATCACAGAAGAGATGGTTTCAGTCTTTGTGATTCTCATAATCCCGAGTACCTATTAATAAACACTCCCCAATTAAAAAAACACCACGTCCGAACCCCTAAATTCGGTTTATATTTGGTTTTAAATTGCCGCCCTTTCAAACCGCTACTAAGCTACCAACATGGTCGATTTTGGGGGTAGTTTTTTTAATTAGGTTCCCCAAAACTCCACCATGACACGCCGCGCTTACACCAGCAGGCTTTCCTTCCCTCAATGGCACGGACTCACGCAAACGCACTTGCCACCGAGGTCATGCAACACCGCATGGCACAGCGACATCACCTTTCGAAAGCTTTAGCTGTTAGTCTACTGAAGAATCACTATTCTAATGAAGGTTTTTGTAGGGGAAAAGGAAGAAGACCCTTCGATCTGGCGGTTTTTTGCATTTTTGATACGAGTTTAATAAAGGATTTTATATAAAATTTTCCTGGATTACTTTTTGGTTTTGAAACTCTTTCCAAGTGACACTATTTTGGGCCCCCCCGATTTCAGGGACCCCCTATTAGAAAAAATGCGACCGAGGTTTTTTTAATAGGGGGGGGGGGGCCTGTGTTTATTATTAGGAGGACGGGATTAATCCGCAGGGATCCAGTCGTACCTTGTCAGAAGCTACGACTGGACCCTCCTGGCACCTACATAACGGTGTCGAACACATCACCTTCTCAGAAGCTACGACTGGACCCGACGTTTTGGCACCTACAGAACGGTGTCGAACACATCACCGTACCTGAGGTTCGGTACGACTGGATCCCTAGGGAATTGCACATGATACCCAAGAGGATAGTGCAGCTGTCCAGCTGCGTCCTTCACGACGACGCACAGCATGACGGGGCCCAGTGAACGCGAGACCAGGCCCACACCGGAGCTCCAGTGAACGCGAGGCGCGCCAGCGCGCCGGTGTAGCCACCAGTGAGGGCAGGTGAGGGGAGGTCGGTTTTGACCCTCAAAGAGTGGGAAGTGTGAGTGAAAACTCAGAGCGCCCTGAACACCTTCCGTATTTGTCGGGCCATTTCCTTCAGTTCAGGTGTTGCTTTCGATTCTTTCTGGCCGACTCTTGCATCAAGAGATCGACCACTGCATGGTGGTCTACCGCAACTCAGTGGTCTACCAGTCCCGTCGCTTCACCCCAGTTACTTGCAGCGTTGATGAGCAACACTTCTTGGGGTTGAAGGGCCAAAACACATGTCCTGAACGCAACAAAGAAGCCGGGCTGCACAACTCGTGATGTTCCTATTCGTAATGCGCATGGAGTTCACAGGTATATATCTGATATTTGGACATATATTATACTTAATACGAACAGTTGAAAACATGGACAGCCGTGTTTTCAGAGGAGAGTGCACAATCCCCCCCAAGTTGGGTTGAAGATCTGGCACCTTTTAGAGGGTTTTTGGTGCCATCTATGATCTACAAACATATGTCACATCTCCCTGGTATTGAATGGGCTAATCTCCCTCAAAGGGGTTCTGTATCGTTGGGGCTTGAGATGCCGAATGTGAATGGGACCCTTCCGACCCTTCCGACCCTGGCACCATGGTGGAGTGGATCCAAGATGGTAGAAACAAAATCTTTACCAAGTTAATCGATCAAGCAAACATGAAATATTGATGCGTATTAGGGGTCGCAAGGGTTCTGAACTAAAGAAGTTTGAGGTTGTAGGGTCATGCTGTTGATGGGCCACACCTTGCACTATTCCGAAGAAACCCTGGGGATACTCCGGGTCTCCATCAACAGCATGACAAAGTGTGATTAGAGACCTCTCTTATCCATGCCATAGATTTGCCAACCAAAAATCCATCCAGTTGGGGACTGAAAACAAATAAATGAGATCAACATTATGCACAAGGACATACAAACCACCTGGTTCCTAAACAATTGCACTTCCATTGAAACAGGTTTAGTGAAAGAATAATGTACAGATATGTACAGTCTCAGTCTGAATGACAAACACATCATGATTGGTCACAGACAACGTGTATGACGCTTCTCCAACCCTTTTGGCTCAGAGAAACTGCGCCAAACAGAGACGACCCCAAACGAGAGACGACGCGCCTTGCCATGAAACTCGGATTCTTGCTTCTAAGCTTGGCCGGAGCCACCGAGCTCACCAAGGACGGGAGGGTTTGAGGTTTTTTTTGGGCGGGGGCAGAATCGAGGGATGTTAATGGTATGTTATTTGTTTGGGGTTCAGGGTTTAGATGGGTTGAGGGTTTGGGCTGAACATGTCTCAGAGATTGGAGTTTGAAATCCATCCCAGAGAGGCAGTAGCTCTGAGCTCATTTCAACACCTATAAAACCTGCGTACCAACACCTTCAGTACGGGGTCACCTGGCTGGAAGCCCCAGCCCACTACTATCCGGGACCTCCAGACAGGGCACCCCTTTTTTCAGGTTCAGGTATTGTCAGGTATAACCCGTTTTCCTTGCAAAAATCATAGCAAACTACTTTGGTTTAGAGTTCCTTGCAAGGTAAAACCCATGTTCCTTGCAAAAAATATCGCAGACGTCCTCAAGTCGTTGTCCCAGGAGACCTGGGACGCGGCGGTGAGTGGCAAAACCGTCTTCGTGAAGTTCCTGGCTCCCTGGCGCCTCGCTCTCTCAGCAGCAGATCGATCGGATCCAAAGGGGAAGGCCTGGATAGAAAAATCACATCTGAAAGGGCCGGATTCGGATTCTTGTACACTCCCTTTTCAAAAGAATCATGGAAGTGGAGTTCACTACCTGATTTTGCTCTGATTTGGCTCATCATGGGTCATCCGTCTGGGCCCCACTCCAACCCGTAAAATCGCGTGGCAGTTTGGCCATTCTCTCTCCCTTGGAAACAGGGAGCGAGGGAGGGACATTCTGCAGAAAAAAAACCACGGACCACAGGAATTGATGAACGAAGAAAGTGCTTGGGCGCACCTTGGAAGGCCGGTGTGAAGATGTGTGAAGCTTTGGCTGAAGGACTCCTGCATTTCGAGAGTTAGACTGCCAGAGGTTCTTTTGGTTGCGATGTGATCGTTTTTCAGGATCTTCCAGGTGCCGGTGCTAAGTGTTTCTTCCCCTGGAAACTGTTGGAACCGTAACGCAGTTATGGCCCAGTCGTCTCGCGTTGTCTTTCCGAAGACTCGCGTTGTCTTTCTTGGCCTCCGATTCTGAGGTGAGGCCACTGCAAGAAGATGAAGCCCGAGCCTTGAGTCGCAGAGAGGCCTTGGCACTCCCGAGCACGCTTAAGCCAGCCAGGGAGTGCCTTTAGTAAGGAGCTTGCGAAAGAATGCAGGATCCTCAAGTCCGGCATTGGGTTGGTTTGAAGACATGATTGTATGCATGTGAGTGAGGGCCTGGTATTGTCATCTTATGTGTGATCCTACTTGGTTGGAACCAGCAATGGATCCTGCACAATCAGATGACACCAGCAGACTCAAGGATGTTGAGGATGACACCAGCAGACTCTGAGATACTTTCAGCTCCTTGCAGGAAGTCAGACCGGTAGCAAGCTGCATATCTTGGATGAGTCTTTGTAAGGGAACATGGGCGTAGAAATCTAAGTAATTACATGCAATTACTATGTTCAAGTATGCTGGAGTTTTCAGCATGGGTCCATTGGCCACATGATTGACCATGGTCTTTCATGTTTAAAGGCCAGATTCTCCGCGTCCCCCTGAATGTCATCATCCAGAACGTGACGTGGTCCAGTTTTGGTTCCGCCTCTTTCCCCGCCCACGGCAGCTCAGCACCCTGCGACCCACAGAACCTTCAGAGATCCCCCAAGTCCTCCATCCGCGGAACAAAATCTGAGGAATCTGACTCACAGAAACCCCAAATCATCCGATTCCCCCAAGTCCTCCATCCGGAACCTCCGAGGATTGGGACAAGCTGATGAAGGAGTTCGAGGGCTCCTCCTCTGTTCTCATCGCCGATGTGGATTGCACCGCCGGGGGGCAAGAGCAAGTGCGAAGAGGCGAACCGGACACCGTTCGAACCGGTTCGGTCAGGACCGGTGGGAGGTGGTGGAGCTGGCATGGCATGGATGGAGGATGGAGGAGGATGGGAGCTATATGGAAACGACCCATAGGAGTGTGGACCCATAGCACAGATCCACCATCGATGCTTTGTTTCATGTGTATCTCAACGAACTCATTGAAGTTGCTGGACCAGGCTTCATGAGTTGTGTGTGTGTGTTTTTTTTAATCGAATACGCCAATGCCTCCTTTCAAGAAGACCAACCAATTCACTGGTGGCTAGATGGGTTAAGCATTAGTTACATGATTGTTGTTCTATGTTTTTCTATGTAACTATCGTTGTCCCGGCCCGGACACCGGCCTCACCGGCTATAGACACACCGGCCTGGCCTCACGACTCGATCGAAGGAAAGTGTCACCTGGAAGGTCGAAGGAGAGGGGAGACCCTCGACTACATACCAGGAGGGCAGGAGTACATACTCTCGCACCCGACGATAGGTCTCAGAGACCTTCCAGTGCTCTCAGAGTCTTGCAGTACTTTCAGTGTGAAAGTGTTGGGAGGGACAATGTCTCTGAATTGGAGGCTTGGGAGTTAGGCCCTGTTGCAGGCAGCTTTCCATTGGTGACCTGTGAAGTCGGGTGCTGGTCCATTTGGCCTAGCCGCTAGTCCATCTTCCAAGATGCACCGCCCTTCTTCACCGAATGAAAGGCATGTGAAACCCCAACCCTTAGGTTCTGTTCCAATCGGTTTGCCAGCTGCCATTCTTGAGGGTTTATATGTTCAATCATTTGTCCTGCCGTGACAGGGAAACTTCAAAGATAGAGGGTTTGGGACTTGATCAAACGCTGAGCAGCATGCCTTCTACTGCTTTCAGCTGTGAGGAAAGCTGAGTGTAAGGATTTGGGGTTTGCTTCTGCAGAAGATTCAGGCTGCAAGATGGTGTCGAAGCAACGAAGAAGTCAACACCAGCACCACCCAAAAGGATGGCTATTGGATGGAACAACGACATGGTCAGTGAGGAACTATAAATCACCATACTCTGATTGAAATAATCATGGAAGTGGAATGAAGTGGATGGCTTTGTCCCTTGGAGGACCATTTTCCAAATACATCCGAATACCAAACAGGTGGTTTTAAGATGTTTTAAGTATGTTCCTTGCCTCCCCTCAACACGAGATCCACCCCCCCCCCAGAGGCCTCCACCCCATCGAAATGGACGAGCATGCTGTGCTCGCAGGTGGGCATTCGAGGCTACCCATCAATCAAGTACGGAGACCCCGATGATCTCCAGGAGCTTTGGCACCGAAGAGTGAGGGTGTGGGAGGAGTTTGGAAAAGGAGGGTAACCATTCATGGGGATAGCCAGGTGCACTGCAGGAATGCCGATTGGGATGGCAATTCTAGATGCATTCAAATCATTCAAGAACCTTATGTCCGATGGTTTTGAACGCTTCATGGACCTGCAAACAGAATTCGAGATCCAGTACCCGACCTGTTTCCATACCCTTCGGGTCAGTCTCCTACGACTTCAGCGACCTGCCACCACCGAGTCGTGGCGCTTCACCCGACCGACCGGGGCCCCCGGTGGTTCGGTGCTGAACGGATGGACGTCCTTTTTTCACATCGAAGCGGAGTGCCAGTGCCATCTCCAAGACCACTTTGACTGTATAAGTCCTTAGGGGTTCTTGAGTTTAAAACTGTCCCGGGCACCTGAAGCGGAGTGAACGAGCCATCTCCACAAGAAAAAGGGCGTCATGGAGGTAACAAGCGGCACGTCGTTTGGATATGAGATGACATGAGAGCCGCACAGAACAATCCTCTCATCGAAATCGTGAACTCAAATTGAGGATATCCTTTTCTGATTGTATATAAATCCTTTTAATCCTATTTGACATGATCTTAACTTCCAACAATTCCAAGGGAGTCATTGTAAAGTCACTGAGTCCAGAGGAACCTGGAAACAACAAAATCCCCTGGTCGGCAGCCTGCTCCATATGGAACTTCTGATCAGATCCCACATGTTTGCAAGCAGCATTTCAACCAGGCAGAATCCGGTGACTCCTCTAAAACTTTGGCAAAACCTTT